TGTTGAGAGGAGGATGAGTGACATCACAGGGCTCTGACTAGCCACAACCCCACTTGCACGGACCCAGAGCATCTGAGAAATCCTTTCCTAAGGGAGGTGAGGTTGCACCCTTCCCTCCTGGAACCCCACGACTGCAGCTCAGGTGATTAGGAGGGCACGGTCCTGAGGATGTAACCAGGGCCACATGCAGCGGTGGCTGAGTCCCTCTGTCCTTCCCCACCCGGCTGTCAGCTGTTCTGGGTTCACTCCTGCACCTTGGATCCAGGGAACAGCAGCTAAAACTCTGCGCCATGCTCTGCCTCCCTGGGAAGCCAGGCTGTGATTGACATCCAGCCCCAAAGACCCTTCACCCCCAGACCTGAAACATGTCCCCTCTCACAGCACCTAGGACCCTGAAGAGGGACTCACGCTGAGAACCCGGTCTGGGGACTGTCCTGGAGCATTGGGGCCCAGTGTCACCATGGGGTCCTCAGAGGGAGGCAGGAGGGAAAGAGGCAGCAAGATTGGGAGACTTTGCACTGGGGCTCTAAAGGGGGAGGATGGGGCCTCTGGATGCTGAGACTGACGGGATGTGAGTTCTCCCTGGAACTGTACTGTCAGGCCTGGACTGAAGCCAGGGATACCTATGTTAGACCCTAGAACCCTAAGGATAAATTGTGTGTAATTTTATTCATTTTTATTTTATGTGTACAAGTGTTATGCTTGCATGTATGTAATTGCACCACATGTATACAATATCTGTGGAGGCCAGAAGAGGTCATTGGATTCCCTGGAACTGAAGTTGTGGATGGTTTTCTGCCACCATGTGGGTGCTGGGGACTGAACCTGGGTCCTCTGCAAGAGCAGCCAGTGCTCTTAACCTCTGAGCCAGCTCTCCAGCTCCCTTTTTTTTTTCAGTATTAGGGATGGAACCCATTGTCTTTGCACATGCTAACACAAGTGTTCTATCACTGAGCCACACCCTGAGCCCCTCACTGGAAAATTCTAAGCAGGTGCAGAGTGTGTACAAAGTCAACCTGGGCTACAGAGTAAAGATTGTCTCAAATAAGTTTAATTAATTAAATAAATCAATAAAATAAAAGACTGTCTGATGCATGAACCACATAAGACCTTGTTTCAAAACAAAAACTTTCAAAAAAGAACTGGGCCTGGTGCACAGGCTGTTAATCCCAGCACTTGGGAGGCAGAGGCAAGTGGATCTCTAAGAGATCAAGGTCAGCCTGGGCTACATAGTAAATTCTATGCCAGCTGGGGCTATAGGAAGATCCTATCTCAAAAGACAAAATGAGGGGCTGGAGAGATGGCTCAGCGGTTAAGACCACTGACTGCTCTTACAGAGGACCCAGGTCCAGTTCCCAGCACCCACATGACGGCTATGAACCGTCCTTAACTCCAGTTCCTGGGGAATCCAAAGCCCTCTTCTGACCTCTGCAGCATTGCACGACATGGGTGCACTCACATACATGCAGGCAATACACATAAAATAAAAATAATAAATAATATATTTTAAAAAAATCAAAATGAATGCCTGGAGTGGTGGTGTGCTCTTTTAATCCCAGCCCTAGGGAGGCAGAGGCAGGCTGATCTCTGTGAGATTGATGCCAGCCTGGTCCATATAGTGACTTCCAGGTGGTCTGGGACTAGGGAGTTAGCTGGCTCATCAGTTAAGAGCACTGGCTGCTCTTGCAGAAGACCCAGGTTGGGTTCCCAGCACCCACATGGTGGCTAACTACCATCTATAACTCCAGTTCATTGGGATCCAATACCCTCTTCTGACCTCCTCAGGCACTGCATGACACAGGTGCATGTACATACATGCAGGCAATGCACTCATACACATAAAAGTAAATAAAACAACAAGGCAGAAGGAAGGTGTGGATGACAACCATTACCGCCCCCCCCCCCGCCAGGAACCGCTCAGCCCCTACAAGTCTCAGTCAGGGAGACAGAAAAGAGTTCAGAGTCACAGAAAAAGTTGAGTGAGTCTTTAATAGTGCAGGGTTCACCTACTGTAACATCATTTCACACAATATTAAAACAGTGCGAGAGAATAGGCTTGGCACACTGGAAGGTCTTTTAAAAAGAAAAACAGAAATATGAACTGGAGTGCAGCTGGAAGGATGGGAGGAGCCTGGAAGGAACCTGGGCTAAGTGACTTCTGAATGACAGTCATGGGGGAGGCTAGTGGATTCTGGGTCAGACCAAGGCCCTAGCGACTGGGTCTCCTGTGTAGCCCAGGCTGGCCTCGAGCTCACTTTATAGACCAGGTAAGCCCCAAACTCACAGAGATCCACCTGCCTCTGCCTCCAGTGTGCTGGGGTTAAAGGTGGGTGATTGGTTTTTTTTTCCTCCAAGATTCATAAACTTCATGTGGGGCTGAGTGTTTACCATGGGACTGTGAACTGTCCTGCAGCTCAGGGTTATCCCTGGACACACTGGTCAAACAGCAGATAAAACATTTAGCACCTTCCACCGTCCCTGGGAGTTTGAGGTCACTTCATTCTCAGCTTGCAAGTCACCTCTGGGGACAGTTGGGGGTGTGGAGACTGATGAAGATTTGAGTTTTCTCCCCAGTGGAGAAGGGTTTGAAAGACTGCTTATCCAGCTGGGGCCAGACAGGTGACTGGTCGGTGTGGCCAGCATCCTGGGACCACACTCTCACTTGAGTAGGCCAGCTGGACCAGGATGAGGGAGACCAGCCTGGATGGGCTCTGGGGCATCTTGAGATCTTTTTGTTGTTTTTGAGACACTGTCTCTCATGCAGCCCAGGCTGGCCTCCAACTTGATAAGGAGTCGAGGATGACCTTGAACTCCTGATCCTCCTGGCTACACCTCCTTAGTGCTAGGATGACAGGTCTGTGGTGCTGGGGATGAACACAGGGCTTAGTGCACGCTGGATGACCACTCTACTCACTGAGCTATAAGCACTCATCCCACTTAGCCTTACCCCAACTTGCAAATCATGATTTTATCTGTCCCTGCCTTCTGCTGCTTGTGAGGGCTGGCACACACAACCCAGGGCCCTGAGGCTCCCAGCCTAACACAAGGTGGCTCTAGCTTTCGAGGGAGACTGGCTTTCCCAACTGAACCACAGGTTTGAGGAGTCAATCCCCCAATGTCCCTGGACCAAGTGTGGAGAGTGGATGCTTGGAAGGGGCCTGACCCTCAGACTGCACCTTCTGGGAGCCAGCCTGTGGAAGGGAATGAATATTGGGGCCACGGGTCTCACTCTACCTGCTTTCCTGGCCCATCCAAATGAATTGGGGACCCTATCCACTTGCCCTAGGGAATAGGTTGTGCCTGGAGGGCCAGGAAAAGGAACTGGAAGGTGCTGGGTTCAGCTACTTTCCTGATGGATACCCTGAGCAACTGTCCAGGGACCACCCTGGCATGTGTTGCTGCAGGCTTATTTCCACCAGGGCCCCTTGCATTCCTGTCTCCCACCTGGGTTCCCTGGCAGGCAACACTGGCTGGACCTGGAGGGGTACACACCGCTTCATTGTCCTATCACCTGCCCCTGACATTGTCATACACAGAGAGCAGGTCATGCTGAAAACCAATGCTATGCCAAGCTTGTTCTGGCACAGGCCTGTCTTCCCAGTTTCTCTGGAGTTCGAGGCAGGAAGGTCTGGAATTCAAGGCCAGCCTGGGCATCTTAGACTGTCTCACAAAATAGAAAGAATGAAGGTCTGGCTCAATGGTAGAGCCCCTGCCTAGAATCCCCCAGTGATGGTCTGGGGGCATGCCTCAGAAGTAAAATTATAGCTTAGAAATCCTCCAGTGACCTGGCTCAGGGGTGGAGTGACAGCATAGAATCCCCAGTGAGGGGCTGTGGGCGTGGCTCAGGGTAGAGTGACAGCCTAGAATCCCCAGTGAGGGGCTGGGGGCGTGGCTCAGGGTAGAGTGACAGCCTAGAATCCCCAGTGAGGGGCTGGGGGCGTGGCTCAGGGTAGAGTGACAGCCTAGAATCCCCAGTGAGGGGCTGGGGGCGTGGCTCAGGGGTAGAGGGACAGCCTAGAGTCCCCCAGTGAGGGGCTGGGGCGCAGCCTGAAGACCACAGTACCACAGCAGTAAGAGACGCTGGGAATACAGGGAGTATTATGTGTGTATGTGGAGGCCAAAGGTCGACATTGGGGGTCTTCCTCAGTTACTCTAATGTTTATTCAAGGCAGGTTCTCACTGAACCTGGAGGTCTTGATTCGACTGGACTCCCTGGTCAGTGACCCCCCCCCCCAGGGATCCTCCTCCTGTCTCTGCTTTCCCAGTGCTGAAGTCACAAAGAGGCCACTACACCTGGCTTTTTATGTGGGTTCTGAGGATTCGAACTCAGGTCCTCATGCTTGCACAGCAAGCACTTCACCCACAGAGCCATCTCCCCAGCCCCAACAATGGGGAGTTTTAAGACACAGCCATCACATCATTCAGGCACCACAGTGACACTGGACAGGAGGGGGCTATGAAACTGCCCCGTGAGAGGGGTCCACTAGGGTCTGAAACTCCAGCTCAATCAAAAGATCATTTTTAAATCTCATCTGTCTGTCCAAAAGGGAAAAAAAAATTTTTTTTTGTCTTTTTGAGACAGTGTCTCCTGTAACCCCAGCTGGACTGGAACTCACTATGTGTAGACCAGGCTGGCCTTGAACTCACAGAGATCCGTCTGCCTCTGTCTCCCGAGTGCTGGGACTACAGGCGTACGCCACCACGCCCGGCTTAGGGATTATTTCTTTAACATTTACTTATTTTTAATTTAGGTGTATGTGTGTATTGCCTGCATGTATGTAAGTGCACCATGTGTGTGAAATGCCAGCAGAGGCCAGAAGAGGCCATCGGATCCCCTCAAACTGGAATTACGGACAGTTGTTAGGCCCCATGCAGGTGCTGGGAACCAAACCCGGGTCCTCTGCAAGAGCAGCCAGTGCTCTTAACCGCTGAGCTGGGTCTCCAGCCCTGCTTTTTTTTTTTTTTTTTCTTTTACAATTCAGTTTAAGGGGACTCAAATATTTTCTTTCATTAAGAATTGAATGCTATTGTGAGAGAGAGAGAGAGACAGAGAGACAGAGAGAGACAGAGACAGAGAGAGGGTGCAAGAGAGAGCTAGAGAATTACACAAGGCTTCTTGTCTTTGAAGGGATTCTCAGAGGCAGGAACCCCAACCAGCAAAGGGTCACTGCGGGCATGCTGCTCACAGTAGCTCATCAGCTCTGACGAGGCTTTGGAGACCTGTGTATGGAGCAGAAGGAGGAGAGAGGGAAGGTCAGAGGGGCTGGATGATCACAGCTGACACACAGCAGAGTCAGCTGAGCATTCTTGGAAAGATGATGGACACACTGTGGAACACACACACATGAGCTGCGGATGGAATATTACACAGTTCCCCAAAGCAATGAGGGTCTGATTCTGATACACACCACTGTGTGGAGCGACCTTTAGGACATTCTGCTCAGTGAGAGAACCAGACAAAAAGGCCACTAGAACCTCTGCTTAGGATCTCCCAACAAGAGCCAGGCGTGGGGGCACATGCCTTTAATTCCAGCACTTGGGAGGCAGAGGCAGGTAGATTTCTGTGAGTTTGAGGCCAGCCTGGTCTACTGGGTCTACAGGGAGACCCTGTCTCAAAAAGACCAAAAAAAAGAATCCCCAAGCCTTGTGTATATAGTGAGTTCCAGGGCAGCCTCAAAAATGGGGCAGGTAGTGGGACTGGAGGTGTGACTCATTGGTAGAGTAACAGCCTAGGATCCCCATTGAGGGGCTGGGGGCGTGGCTCAGGGTAGAGTGACAGCCTAGAATCCCCAGTAAGGGGCTGGGGGCGTGGCTCGGGGTAGAGTGACAGCCTAGAATCCCCAGTGAGGGGCTGGGGGCGTGGCTCAGGGAAGAGTGACAGTCTAGAATCCCCAGTGAGGGGCTGGGGGCGTGGCTCAGGGGTAGAGTGACAGCCTAGAGTCCCCAGTGAGGGGTCAGGTCCTGGCCCAGTGGTGGAATTCTTGCTGTTCTACCGCCAACAGAACAAGAAAGAAAAGAAAGGAGGCTCCGGAGGACAGTTGTTCACCTTTCTGCAGAAGGGACAGCTGGGGTTGGATTCCTTGATTCTGTCCCAGCTGTATTGTCACCCAAGACTGGGTTCCTGGGAAAACCCTACCTGACCTTTGACCTGATCAAATGGTTGATTTCATAGGAACTTCCAGCTGGTCCCTGGAGTCCTTGGTGAGGAGATAAACCTCTGAGCAGCGTCTTTCTGTTGCAGCCTTAACCCACTGGGGTCTTGCTGACGCAGCTGTGCGCCCTGACCCTCTTCAGGATGTGGCCTCTGGTGCCTTGGCAACGCTTCCCACTTTTCCAGCCATACTACCCTGATCTGGGACCCTCAGTGCTGCTGGGCAAGTGTCATATGTCCAGCAGCTGGAGTCCCTGGGGACATGTCCACTTCTTGCTGGATCTTAGGATCATGGCCATTTTTTTATTGTTTTGTTTTTGAGACAGGGTCTCACGTAGCCCAGTCTGGCTCCCTATTCATTACGTAGCCGAGGATGACTCTAAACTCTGGATCCTCCTGCCTCCACCTTCTAAGTGCTGGGATGACAGGCGTGTGCCACTATGATTGATTTATGTGGTACTGGGGATGGAACCCAGGGCCATGTGCACACTAGGTGAGTATTCTATCAATTAACTTTCTAAGCACTTTACACACTGAGCCACAAGCACTCTATCCAGAGATACAAGTTCTCTATCCACTGAGCTATGAGCACTCTTCACTGAGCTACAAGCACCACTCTACCAAGTAACCTACAGTCTTTTGTATTTGAGACAGCTTTCACTCTAGCTCTGGTTGACCTCATACTGGGGGTGATCCTCCTGCCTCAGCTCCCCTGGGCAGGGATGATAAGTGTGTACCATCACACCCATCTTACATGCCACTTATTTGAAATCCCCATTTCTTTTGGGGCTTTATTGGCCCCAGTGGTTCCCTGGTGCTGTGCCCTGGCTCTGCTGAGCTGCTGGCCACATGAGACGGTGCCACCCACAAACAGGGAGAATTGCCACCCTGGGGAGTGGGTTGTTGGCTGTTGTCTTTGAACACATGGATACTGACACTTGGAAAGCCATACTCCTCCTTCCCCCAAATAGTTAGTGGGGCCTCAAAATACCTGATGTTGACTCAGGATACTGGGGTCCCCGTTCACGCTGCCCTCACAGGTTGCCCAGGTCTCTGTGACTCTGGAAGAGCTTGGGGTGTTAATCAGGCTGGATTGGTATAATGACCCCCCATGTCACCCATAGACATTGGAAGGTGTGAAGTGGGGGGCACCTCCCTAAAGCAACAGGGCGGGGTGAATCACAGTGTTGCCCAGAGCCTGGCACCAGCTCACACACACAAAACCACTTCAACCAGGGCCTGGTCTGGCCAACCCACGGAATGCTTTGACTGCTCAGAGCTGTCTGCAGACAGACCATAGAAGGTTCACAAACCTCCTGGGGTGTGTCCTCTGTCCCCATCCCCCACACTTGGCATGGAAGCTCAGGAGGGCTGGGGGATCCATATGGGGTCAAGCCCTTTTGTGACTTCACCTTACCTGGTCAGAGGTGGATCTGATGGTCACCAGGTGTGAGTACCTAGGGACATGGACACCCCTTTCCCCATGAACAGATGCCATGAAATATGTGATGGGCCTGGACCCTGGTGTTCAGTCAATGGTTATTTATTTATGGTGGTGGGAATGGAACTCAGGGCCTCCAGTAGGCTAAGGAAGTGATGTTAATAAGCCACGCCCCCAACCCCTCACTGGTGGATTCTAGGCTGTCACTCTACCCTGAGCCACGCCCCCAGCCCCTCACTGGGGATTCTAGGCTGTCACTGTATTGCTGCTCCTCCTCCTTTGCACTTCTTGCTCCTCCCCCTCCTCCTCCTTGTGTTCCTCCTCCTCCTCCCCCTCTTCCCTCTTCTTGAGCTTCCCTCCTCCTCCTGTTCTCCCACTCCTCCTCCTCCCCGCCCTCCTGTTTCTACCCAGGTGCAGCTCACCTTCATGCGTTCAATCCCAGCTTCAATGCGCAGCTGCTCCACCAGTTTCCGGGCCTGGGCTACGTTGTTAGTACCTGACATTGTCAGCCATCAGCATGAACCCGTGTCCAGAGAGCTGGAGGGAGAAGATAGATGTGAACTGGTTGGCCAGACCCCCAGGGACCCCCCAAGCACCTGCCCATCACCCTGCAGATCCCTGGGATCCCCAGCTGCCCAGAAGCTCAGGGTGGGTTCCCAGCCATGCAAGGCCTGGAGTGTCCCTCCCTGTGGGTGGTCAGCAGTCACTTCAACATGGCTGAAACCATGTTGGGTGCCCCAGGGAGGTGTGGCTGAGACGGAAGCACAAGAGGGAAAGTGACTCCTGGCTCTGCTGTGGTTCCTGCCCCACCCCCAGGCCTTCCCGTCATTCAATCAGTCGTTCACTCAACAAACAAGTCCAGAGAATTGGGACTGCCTGATGAGATAAGAATTAAACTAATTTCTGTTTGTAAGTCCTGAGCTGGGGACATCACACTGAGGCTTTGCTGTCCCCAGATAGCAGTGAAGTCACTGACCTGGGTTTGGACAGGGCTGCCCAGAGTGGGTGGGTATCCTAGTTTGTTTCTTCATTGCTATGACAAAACACTCTGACCACTACCAACTTGGGGAGGAAAGGGTTTATTCAGCTTACATCTCCCAGGTTGTAGTTCATCAGGGAGCCCAAGGTAGGAACTCAGGGCAGGAACCTGGAAGCAGAGCTGGAGCACAGGCCATGGAGGAATGCTGCTTACCGGCTTGCTCCCCTGGCCCCTGCTCAGCCTGCTTTCTTATGCAACACAGGCCCACCTGCCCAGGGGTGGCACCATCCACAGTGGGCTGGGCTCTCCCACATCACTCACCAAGATGTCCTTCAGACATGGCCACAGGCCAGTCCAATAGAGGCAATTTCCCGATTGAGGCTCCCTCAACCCAGGTGTGTCAAGTTGACACTAAAGTATCCAGCGCAGTGGGGCAAGGCACAAGCTTTCACTTTTGTTTCCTCTTTAAGACAGGCTTCCTGAGACCATCACCAACAATGGGGGAAAGACTGTCAGAAAGCTCAGCCCCCAGAAAGTGGAGGGGGCTTCAGGGCTCTATGGGGATGTACGCAGGCTCATAGCAGAATGCAGGGTCTCTTGTTTACTGCTGAGCCTCACCCCCAACCCCTGAAAACTTTTAATTTATTATTACTAAATTCTTAAACACGTATTTATTTTTTGGGGGGTGTGTGCAAGTGCCATTGGTGTATGTGTGTAGGGCAGAGGTCAACTTGCAGGAGTCGGTTCTCTCCTTATACCCAGGCATCAGGTCCTGACTGCAATCTCCTTTACCTGCTGAGCCATAGCGCCGGCTCTTGACTACAGCTATATAAAATGTGATGTCAGTGAATCGTGGAGTGGAAGTGCGTATGTTCTTTGTTGCAATTAGACGTGAACTAAGCATGATTTTTATTTGTCTATGTGTAGCCCAGGCTGGCCTGGAACTCTTGGGAATCCCCTGCCTCAGTTTCTCATGAGCTGGGATGACAGGAGTGGGCCACACCACTCAGCTTGATCAAGATTTTAATCCAAGTTTCAACAACAACAACATAAAATCTGCAGGGTGTGGCGGTGCATCCCAGCACTCAGAGGCAGAGGCAGGTGGATCTCTGTGAGTTTGAGGCCAGCCTAGTCTACATAGCAAGTTCCAGCTGGGCTACAGGGAGACCCTGTCTCAAAAAACAAAAACAAAAAAAGAAACCCCTTCAGCCCCACCTGGCTCCCTTGGGTGCAGGTAGACACCCAGTACGTTTTTTGGTGGCAGAAAATTCCAGAGTCTGTCAGTTCTCTGAACAGCTGATCAAGACTTCCAGGCACACCAGGGAAAACTGCTGTAGGTTTAGTTGAGATGACTCAGAGCTAAATATAGTTGTGCAGAGAATGGGCTGGCAGCCTGTTTTCCTGGGAAGTCAGAAGTGTCAGGGGGTAGGGGGGCAAGATTCTGCTGAGCACCCCAAGTCATGACCAATGCATTAGAATCTGAGGTCCAGGCTGCAGCCACAGTCAGCCACATGAGCAACAGACACTGAACACAGCCAGCTGTTTGGGGCAAGAGACTCCCTGTAGGCTGGGTTATAACCCAGGCTTGTGAGCCAGGCTGGAGAGGAGCTGGTTGCCTGCTTACGTGCCTGTGTGTATGCATGCCAAGGCCTGTGTGTCCATGTGCAAATGCATACGAGTGTGTATGTGTGCATGAATTCTGTCTGCAGAGACTTCAGCATTCATACAGGCAAGTGTATTTGTGCATGATTAAGTCTGCAGACAACACACATGCATATCTGTGTGCATTCTCATGGATAAGTGTGCATGTGTGTTTGGCTCTGTGCATGTTAGGCCTGTATTCCTGAGCCACGCCCCCAGCCCCTCACTGGGGGATTCTAGGCTGTCACTCTACCCTGAGCCACGCCCCCAGCCCCTCACTGGGGGATTCTAGGCTGTCACTCCACCCTGAGCCACGCCCTCAGCCCCTCACTGGGGATTCTAGGCTGTCACTCTACCCTGAGCCACGCCCTCAGCCCCTCACTGGGGATTCTAGGCTGTCCCTCTACCCTGAGCCACGCCCTAAGCCCCTCACGGGGGATTCTAGGCTGTCACTCTACCCCGAGCCACGCCCCCAGCCCCTCACTGGAGATTTTAGGCTGGATCTGTTTATGGAAAATACACATTTTTGTCTGCACATGGTTAGTACAGATGTGTCTGGGCGTACACACATACATGTCTGAGTATGTATCTAGCTGGCCTCTCTCTGTGCACATTGGTCTGTATTTTCTCTCTCACTGTCTACTCACCCTGATTTGTGACTCAGCTGTCCCCTGTTGTCCAGGCTGAGTAGGTGTCACTGGGCAGTCCCTGACTCATACCCCAGCCATGTCCCCAGCCAAAGAGTAAATCCGTCAACAACAGCCAAACACAGGAGCAGCTGAGTCAGTGGGTGCATTCCTCAGTAGCCACTGGCCACAAGGCCTGGCACGTGGCGACCTGGGAGACAGACATGCAGGAGGAGCAGAGCCTGGAGATCTCTGGGCCAGTGTGCACATGCCAAGCAGCCCAGGCCTCCTGGCAGGACAGGTGGGCTCTGGCCTGGCAGCTCAGGGCATCATTTGGTGTGAACTTGTTTAAAAATGATTCTTGCTGGGCTGAGAGCTGGCTCGTGGCTAACAAACGTCTGTAATTCCAGTTCCAGGGGATCTGACACCTTTATCTGCCCTCTGTGGGCATTGTACAACATGGTTGCACTTACATATACCAGCACAACACTCATAAAATAAATGAATAAGGGGCTGGAGAGATGGCTCAGTGGTTAAGAACACTAACTGTTCTTGCAGAAGACCCGGGTTTGAATCCCAGCACCCACATGGCAGCTAACAACTGTCTGTAACTCCAGTTCCAGGGGATCCGACAGCCTCTTCTGTCCTCTGAGGACACTGCATGACACGGGTGCACTTACCGACATGCAGGCAATACACGCGTATACATTAAAAAAAGCTAAAAGATAAATAAAATAAGTGAATAAATTTTTTTTTTTTTTTTTTTTTGAGACAGGGTCTCCCTGTAGCCCCAGCTGTCCTGGATTCACTATGGGGACCAGGCTGGCCTTGAACTCACAGAGATCCGCCTACCTCTGCCTCTGGAGTGCTGGGATTAAAGGCATGGGCCACCATGCCCGGAAATTTTTAAAAATTTAAAAATAGGCCTTGCACTTGACCAGCAGGGTCATGCCTCACAGCAAAAGGCAGGAAAGCCAGGACTGGCCTTACACCACCTGTGGGCAGAGAAACCACTAACACAGTACAAGGTGAGCTTGAGGCCAGTGATCCCCAGGGTGGATTCAGGTCAACACAAAACAGCACCATGCTGGGCAGAGACACAGGACTAGAAAGATCTGATGGAGAGGGCAGCCCCCAGCAAGGCTCCAGTGTAGACCAGCAGCCACCAGTTACCCAGGGTCCTCTGGGTACTGTGAACTGAATTGTTCTCTGTGAGGCATCCTGGGCCCTGCAGGGTGTTGAGCTGAGTCCCTGACCCCCAATCCCCAGTCAATTGAGATGCCTTAGAAATAAGAATAAAACAGAGGTTTGGTCAGAGTGGACTAAGCACTCTCAACCACAGATAATTATGCAGCCACGAAGGAAAAGAAGAAAGAATGCTTGTAGCTTAGGAGGTAGAGTACCTGTAGCTCAAGGGACAAGGTGCTTGTAGCTCAGTGGGTAGAGTGCCTGTGGCTCAGTGGATAGAGTGCTTGTAGCTCAGTGGGTGGAGTGCTTGTGGCTCAGTGGATAGAGTGCTTGTAGCTCAGTGAGTAGAGTGGGTGTAGCTCAGCTAGCACAGTATTCACCTAGCTTGCACGAGGCCCTGGGTTCCATCCCCAGCACCACATAAACCAGGTGTGGTGGCACATAACACTTGGTAGGTAGAGGCAGAAGGATCAGGCGTTCAGTCATCCTCAGTTACATAGCAACTTTGAGGCCAGCCTGGGCTACATGAGACCCTGTCTGAAGATAAAAGCTACTACCCTGAATGGATCCTTGTCAGCTGACCTCAGCAACTACAGGCCTGTTCTTTATTTTTGTTGTTCGCAGAAAGTCCTGCGGAATCTCACAGTATAAACAATCTGGCTTCTTTCACCCAGCATGACACCTCTGTGAATCGCCCATGTTATGGATGTATGCATTACATTCTGTCCTTTTTCATGGTTGAGTAATAGTCCATCAAAAAAGAAGTCATTGGGCTAGCAAGATGGCTTAGTAAAGGGAGTAAAGGAGCTTGCTGCCAAGTCTGATGATCTGAGTTCAATCCCTGGAACCACCCACATGGTGGAAGGAGAGAACTGAGTCCTGAAAGCTGCCCTCTGACCTAAACACACACACACACACACACACACACACACACACAAACTCTTGCAATGTTTAAAAGAAGGAAATCATTGTATTATATACGGATCTAGCCACTAATGTGGAAATTACCCAAGGTATTTCTATTTATTTTGGGGGGAATTTTTCTTCCCCCCCCTTCCTTCCCTTCTTTCTTTTCTGACAGTCTCCTGTAGCCCAGGTTGGCC